GGCTGCTGCCCAGAGAAAGGCGAGGCAGCCCAGAGAGCAGCTTTCCACCTCCTTGCACAATGCACTCGTTACACTCTCCCTTCGCCCGTCCAGGGTCAGGGCTCCACGAGGAGCAGGAAGTCACCCCCAAGCGCCTTGCTGAGGAGGCCCTTCTGCCTCGTGGGGCTGTGGCAATGAAGAGCACACTTGGACCCAAAGGACAGAGCACTCAGGGCGGCGAGCACAAGGCCTCGATTCCAGGGACACCTTCCTCCTGCCAGCGCCAGGACCTGGAAATGTTCTCGCCCTGGCAGCACCGGCACCTGGCACCAGGCACCGAGCCCAGTGCCAGGCACATGGAGGGTGCTCAGCCCACCCTGGCCAGGCCACTTCCTTTGTCCCCTCTGGATCCCTGTGTTTGTTGAGTGGCTGAATGACCTACTCTGTGTGATGTCTGAGGACTGAGCCACCCCTTCCGCTAAACACTCTATCCGCACACTTCCAGGCGTGAGTAAGGAATTCTGCGCCCTTGCACCCTCTTCCTACACAGGGACCCCCCCAACAGGTGTCCAGAACCCAAAGTTCTGTGGCCTAAGGAGCCCTGCTAGATAAGCCACAAGGTCAATATCCCCGCCTCTCAGTGTCAGGAGCCCCTGGAGTGGGGTTGTGAGCTCCAGGCAGATCTGCTGAGGATCTGAGCGGATTCCTCAGCCAGGTGCATCTAAGGGCATCTGCCAGCTGCAAGCCAGCCATACGCCCCCTACGCAGGTGTCTTAGAGGCGGCATGAGCCCCAGACAGAGCCCCAGAGCTGGGCTGTGTCCAGGGTTCTGCCTTCCCCATGGCATGTTCCCTGCAACTTCATTTCGGCCCCAAAGTCTTCCCAAGAAAAGCAATGCCATTGCGTTGCTGTGTGAAGCCGGGGGCCTGGGGGGCCTCGCGGTGGGTGAGGCCGGCCTCACGACTCAGCTCCACAAAGGGCTCCTACCTCGTTCTGCCGCTGCCCCACCTTTCCTCACCCACAGGCAAGGACAGGGCAGGAGGGGACGCCCTGCACGAGAGGAGCTGCTCAGTGCTGCCATCCTAGCCCTGCCGCTGGTTCTGGCCTTGTTCTCCTCGCACAACAGGCCCAGCCTCTCTTCATGGGCCTTTTCCTGCCTTTGCCCACACACCCCTGGGATCCAGGGTCATCTGAGCCAAAAGGCCTTCAAGGTCATCTAAGGTTATCCAGGTCCTCCTGGACCACAGCACCCCAAACTCCCCTGAGCTCCCCAGAGGGCTGCCCAGCCTCTGAGAAACACAGGGGAGAGCCCGCTGCAGCCCGCTGCGCATCCTGCAGACTCAGAGCCAGAGGCCGGAGAGACCAGGCAGGCTGTGGGGAGCTGGGCCCTGCCCCGTGCCCTGCAGGCTCCCCAGGACACACCGCCCTTAGCTCCTACAGACCCACGGCCACACAGGAGCCCCAGGACCAATCAGCTCAGCCTACCCGAGACCTCGAAGGCCGGGCAGCAGCTTGCCGGGCCTGTGCCGGGAGGGTCCGCGCGGGGCTGCTGTCCATGTTCCAGCTCTGTGGCGCAGCCCACAGCCCCCATGGGGCTCCTGAGAAAGCCTGCCCTGGTGGCTGCCGCGGCCCTCCCAGCCTCTGGAGGACCCCAGGGCCTGGCGTTTCTAATGCCCCTCAGAGCTGGTTCACGTGGCCATTCTCAGGCAGCTGGAAAATTGAAGGGCTCGCTGGGGCGCCCTGGGAAGTGTGTGGCCGCTCCCTTCTCTTTCGTCCATTTCCCCTCAAACAACTTCCCGGGAAATGGACGCGGATGCCTCTGACAGTGGATGATGGATGGTGCCGCACAGCCTGCCCGGGAGAGCGCCATGGGGCTGCGGGTGGGAGGCGGTGCGGGTGGGGTGGGCCGGCCGCCCCAGGCTGTCTGTGGGCTGCATGGGAGAGGGTGCAGATGAGATGGGGGCGCTGCTGGAGGAAGGACCCGCAGAATGAGCTGTGCAGTCGCGGCGAGTGGGCCCTCCGGACACTTGCTGTGGGGAGACTCCTGGCTGGCTTGGACCCTGCCCCGTTCTCCAGCCGGAGACCCAGCCCGCTCATCATCTCACTGGGCATCGGCTTCCTCATCTGTAAAATGGGCCTGTGCTGGCCCTGCCCGGTGGCGGCGTGAGCTCCAGGAGGTGCTGCTGAGCCGGGGCCTGGTGCACAGAAGGCAGCTCCGCGGGGGCTGCGCTGGTCACTGGGAGGCCTCAGGGTGTG